CGGCCCGCAGTCCAAATCCGGAACTTTCGAGTATTTGATTCGTACCACACCTAGGTAATTCTTTATTTTAGATCATTAGCCCCACTTTTGAAGTTTTCTTTTATAAAATGACTTATATAGTTTTGAATATATATATGAAAAAAACTATAACACCATAATAAACCATCTTGATTTGCTATTAATTAATAGCCGTTCGAGGAAGTGAGTGTTAAGAATGCCAAAATTGTATGCGGATTTTGGTAAAAAAAAAGAGGAGATTAGCCCTGGTTTAGAAAAAAGAATTTTATTGCAATCCAATGATAGTTGGTCAAAATTAAATTAGTTCCAGATTTAAACATTTTATACCGAACTGAATTGGTTTCTGGCCTTTCAAACAAAATCTGCTTGTACAAACTCATGTAAGCTTATAAGAATAATGCCTCTGACTTATCTTTTATTAACTTATGATGATCAATTCTGTATTTTTCAGAAATTTCGGTTTCAGTTTAGACCATACCAGTGCTTCCCAACATTTTTCAATTTGAAAGACAATTTCATTGCCTTTTTTGCAACTCACTATAAGATGTTAATACATGAAAAAAGAAACAATGCATCCACATGAAATTTAGTATTAATGCGAAACTTGACCTTGCATATTACATTTGCAAGTTTGGGTGTTTGGATAAAGTATATAAACCCTGGTTCAGCCAGTATTCAGAATGCAACTAATTGGACATAGCATTAACAAGTACATATAAACAGGCACCTTTGCTACTGTCTACCCGAACTTGACAAATTATCTGCTATGTAGTCTACCTACGCTTTCCAACATGTAGGGGCGTACTGAAATTATTAACGCGAAGCAAAGCATAATTCTAATTGTTACATCGCCTCGTAATTATTATTGTTGAATATAATGATAATGCCATTTTTTCGATCTAATCGAAAACTGTATGTACTGTCTGAAAAAGCTTCGTGGCCCACCTTAAATAGGTTCTGTGTCACAACTCACTAGACTATACCCCAATAATGTTCCTCTAGAGTAGACCCCCGATATTAATATAACATAACTTCCATATAACATGATAATATTACTAAGAATTTGGTGTTATGGTAGCTTATCTTTGAGCACTATTTCATGGTGTATTTTCATGTCAAATACCTCTGAAAATGAATCAGTTTTAGGAGCCATTTCTGAAGAAATTCAATAATGGCTACAAAACTTGACCATGAATGGGGAGAAGACTTCTCATAAAAGCACTTTGACTAAAACAGTACATTAGGAATACATGTTAGCACTTGAAAACACTCAATTGAGTGTTCAGTTTACAGCTACACTATGATAATCCCTTTTGCAAGTCATCATGTGATTTTTAAAATAAAATTACGGTAGGTAGCTGTATATCAAAAGTCTCAAATACTAGTAAATTAAAGCCATTACTAATGAAATTTCTAACATTCAGAATTCCAAAGTTTTTCCTGCGTATTCAATACATAGCCTTCCTACATCTGGCCAGTTAACCTTGAACTCCAAAACTGACATTTTTTTTTGACACAAATTCAGGAATTATTATTCCGAAGTACGAAGATTTACAAAAGCAAAAACAGATTACTTCTAACAGATTCAAACTTAGTGTCGAATCAGAATAAATTGGCCCAGTTTCATTCACATTTCCCACAAGTGCAAATAGTAAAAGTGAAAAATTAAAATATAAAACCATACCATACCAGAATTTATCATATATAATCCAATGTATTTCCACAAAAAATAAGTTAATCCATATTATCATCAGGTCGTCATCCAATTTGTGCATTCATTTTATATATATTTACCAGTAATCAATCGAATTAGTTAATTTTTTGCATGGAAATTGGAAAAAATAAAAAAATTAGACAGAAAGTCAGAAAACATTCAGAAAACATCCAAAGTGGGGGTTTGGCATTTTTTTCCATTCGCTATCTATAATATTTAATCTGAATATTCATAAATTCCGAAATTTAAATATTCTCATATAGTATTCATCAAATCTGGTGTTGCATAGAAAATGTCACATCATGATTGATCTAAGTATGAGATCATTCATGTGTTCATACAATAATAAATCATTTCTTTCACTTGTTTTCAATAAATTTAAAATTCCTATCAGTTTACATTTGAATATTGAACGCATACTACTTTTACTTTTATCTATTTTTTTTTGTGCAAAATAAATTCCATTGCCGAACATAATTTTTGTATTGAGATTTTAGATCCGAATTATTATATTATGAATACAAAGTTTTTGGTTTCTATGTTTTGGTCTTTCAATTTGAATCCCATTTCCCCCGATATATTTGAATAATATAGTAAAATATCCAAACAATTACTAATTCATACCATTACCATGATGTCATTAATTTAATATATTCCAATATATGTCCACAGGAGTTGAGTTTATCCACATGTAATCCAATCAGCAGTTGTATATTTAGATATATTTATAAATCATTTACAGTTACCGTTAATTGTTTTATTTAATTTAGCATGGAAAATGCAACAAGAATATAAAAAATAGACAGAGAATAAAGAAAATACCAAGCTTTCATATTGGGTTTTCCTATTCCCCACCTATGTCTCATACATCTACATCTTATGAAAATGATATACAACCTATGAAATTTCAGAAGTCCTTGCAGGATATTAATCATACTTGGCGTTGCATCTTACATCATAATTGACCTATGTATTGGATCATCCATGTGCTCATATAACAATATTTCATTTCTTTTCCTTGGTTTAAATAAATTCAGGATTCCAATCATTTTACAATTGAAAATTGAACGCATACTACTCTTCCTTTTATCTATTTCATCATATTTTACTGATTCCAAATTGTTGGTTTTCCGAATATTACTGTGATCAATTTCGATTTGCATTCCGAATCATTTATTATAATATTATTTTGATTATTATCTATGCAACACCATTGCCAAAAATCAATAGTCCAGTCACATTCTAAAATAAATGACATACAGTTTCTTCAATTCTATTATCACATAAAACACATATTCCTGGTTCATCAATGAACCAGTATTTTATTCTATCTCCTGTGGGCAACTAATTAAAATTTTCTTCCAACATAACTCTTTATAGTTTAAACCCAAAGCTCTGCCTTCCAGACACCTAAAAATTATGATCCTAGCCCGGAAGTTACAATTTAGTCGTCATGGATACTAAATGGATATTGCTCATTGTTGCCACATAGTGGCTGCTGTTGCAGTTCAAAAAAATACCCAATTGAATGGGAGACGGGTTGATAGTTGCATAATATTATTTGATGTACTACTAAAAAGGTCATAGGTGTGTTGAGTTTGCATTATATTAGTTGATGTACTGAAAGACAAAAGTCGGAGTTAAGTTGAAATTATATGAAATGTCCTGATCATCATATGTCAATCATTAAAAACCACATTGATGAAGTTTGTTGTTCTATACTGTCACCTAGCGGAGACTTTTCGAATATTTGCTCATGTCAGTCAAGATTATTTATCCACCCTCCCACACAAGTTAGTGTAGTGTTTTGTGTAGACTAAAATGGTAACATTATCTTTACACCAATATCGCTGAGTGTTCACATACAATGGGAAACATGCTTTAACAAATAACTCAATCGGGAGAAAAGAGTCATATGTCTGACCCTTTTCGAAAGCCCTTCTGATAAGCAAAATTTTCGAAAAGGGGTTTTGAAATTTGTAATTGCCAATTTAGACCGTAACAGCTTCCGGTAGCAGAACCGGCTCCTGGCCCGAAACGTGAATCTTCAACAGTCTTGAGGGTGTAAAAAACAGTCTAAAGAGCGTTTCAAGCTACTAAAAATTCCTATCGTGCTTTTTATTTACATTTTAGAAAAGGGGTCTGACCCTGATGTCAGATTTAGGCATACAGAGGTTCCATGTCATACGCGTTTATTGTAAAACGGTTGACTGTAAATAAAATGAAAGCCCCCAGTAAAGCCCGTGAAATTCGCGTCAAAACAGAAAAGCAATTATCGATAAAAATTAGCCGAGCGGAACACAAGGAAGAAGCGTTCAAAATATAATCAACTGAAAAGAAACTTCTATCGCCGACACCTGATCTGAAATTCAAACTCAATATTCCAAACTTGCAATGTCAACATTGTCAAGTCCAACACTGACTACCAGGGCTTAACAATTTTTTTTTATCTTTCTTTATTGTTTGTTCAAAATGTCTTCACCGCTTCCATGTCATAGAAAAAACACAGTCCTGCAAAATATTGTTCATATTTGTCCAATTTACTTTCAAAAATTTTAAAACACACAAAAAACAGCTAGTATATAGAGAAAACGGTGTAGTCTGAATTCATAGGTATGAAGGTCTATATCTAAATAGTTTCAAATTACAGAATTCTACCATGCTTGTCAGGATGTGGTTATTCTGCCCAGTCATGCTTCAGTGATCAAAAGCGGGATAGCTTTTTGAAATTGAATAGTTTAAGCCAGGGGTGTGCAACCTTTAATACAAGAGGGCCAGATACAAATAACCCTGTTGAACCGCGGGCCGCACCTTTTTAACATATGCTTTCTAGTAGTGGCGGCCAAAACAATTTTGGTTATTAACCTTATGACATGCGTAGTTCGCTTCTGTGACGTCGTAAGCATAGATAATAAATTGGATAATAAATATAGGCTTTGCAACCTAAAGACCAGATTCAACTGCCAGATTGAACTAATAAAAACTCGTTTTACAGGCCGCACACCTGTCGAAATTGTCACTAATCCGCCAACCACACAATTTTTTCTTATGGCCGCAGGTTGCACACCCCTGCGTTGGGGCGTGCCTAAGGCTTGACATGCTTTTAATAACAATATTGGAGTCCGGCAGAGTTGAGTTTGAATTGCTCTTGCAGCTGTTCCCAATCGGGGATATTTAAAACTATAAATACCACTGGAATGATAAACAAGGGGGCCAATGAGTCCTTAAAGCCTCAGGAAGGGAGCTGTTGAAGGTTGGGAACCACCACCACTAGAGACTACTAGAGAGTAGTCCGGAGTCGAAAATTCATATCTAAGCGCTCCGGAAATATTTGCACAAAGATGGTGCACAACCTGAACTCTAACCTGGTACCTATACATCTTGGTGCACATACTTCGGGAGCACTCTAATCTATGGCATTATTTTCACTATTCATTGGAATATTCAGAGTAAAAAATACTTTCGGACACCCAGAATTAAAAATCAGCCAAGAACGCTGTGATTTACATCCAGTAAAGAAAAAAGCTGGCATTACACACTTAATTAATTCGGGCTTGGGTGCTCTTAAAGTATTCGTACCAAGATGGCGCACAACCTCAACATAGTATGTGTACCAGGTTAAGGTTGTTCAGGTTGTGCGTCATCTTGGTGTGAATATTTCCCGAGCGCCTGGGCTTGTATATAAAGAGCAAAACTTGAACACATTCTGAGATTCTGGTAATGTAAATGTCATGCTCCTAAAAAATATGATAATTAGCAAAATACACCACCCTGCGAAAAAAAATACACTCGAATAAATACTTGAATAATCACACATAACTCATACAAAATTTTTTTTTTTTACCAAAAATTCGAACACAAAATCAGAGTTGTAGAGATGGGACACAGAGTCTTAGTTTTTTGTGGTCAAAATTTGGATTTCTCTCATTAAATATAGTTTCGGACTTCTAATGGTGATAATCATAATTTCGACAAAACTCAAAAATTGAGTCAAAGAAGTTTTCTTTACAGACAATTGAAGCGTGTATAAACAGAAGCGTAACCAGGAATTTTTAAAAGTGAAGATCTTGATATTTGTTATTGCCAAGTTAGACCGTAATTGCTAGGTCTGTCCGGTGGTCGTATAGGTCTTCAAGAGTCCCATAAAGTGTTTTATGCTACAAAAAATTGCTTTTTTTACATTTCAAAAGGATGCCGAAGCAGATGGGTTTTCAAGAGTTCAAAAAGCATTTTATTTTACGAAATATTGCTATGTTTAAATCAGTAATATGTCTTTTTTACATTTAAAAATAGAGGGAGCAACCCTCAAAACCCCCTGCTGGCTATGCCCCTGTATATAGGCTACAGTTCTCATTATCTAATTTGGTTTCCAAAGTTCAGTCCGGGAATCATAATTAAAACTTCAAAAAAGATTCAATTCCTAACAGTCTATCAAAGAAGATCATAAATATAATATATATAGAGGGAACACCACATTATTCTGAGTTGATTGTGAAAAAGAATTGTGTCTGTGTCTTTTATAATAATTTTGACAAACCCCATTCACGAGCCATTTCTAACCCATAGGATATGCCATAACCCAGAATATAATCATATATTGTCAAATCTAAAATGCCTCATGAATACAGGGTGTCCATAAAGTCCGTTTACAATTTCAATTTTGTTAAGAAGTCAGTTATCAATATTATCTTAATTAACCAGGTTTGTTGTTTTTCAATCAGTAATTGTTAAAGTGTTTTTACCTTCATTTAATACGTCTGTGAGGGTCAAAACAATGAATTAAGAAATTTTTTTATTCTATTTTACATCTATGCTGTATTCTTGTTAATGTAAATATGAATATAACGCTATTTTTTTTTTTTGGGGGGGGGGGGGGGGGGTTATTATCAAAAATATTTGTGACTATGTGGTGTTCCCGAAAAGCAAATACAAAGTGGTTGATATGTTGAATATACAGAAAATGAAAAAGCGAGGAGCACAACATAGGAGTTTATCTTGGAAAAAGAGGGGAGGGGGAAAAAAAACGGGACCCCAACAAATAGCTCCCACTAGAGCGGTTTTCCTTCCTGGCTGGGACATTGAAATGGTGGGGGGACAGGGGGTGTGAGAAAAAATGTCATAATCTCTCTGGGTCCTGTGTTGTGACCTCACCACAGGCAAATGCGCCCAAAATTCTTAAAAAAACTTGAAAAACATGTCTGAATATATATGCTGTATACAGCTCTCACCTGAGTGAGACGACAAAAAGAAAGGGGGGGAGAGGGGGCAGGGTGAGGGGTCAGAAAAAAAGTTCAGAGCCTACAGTGATACCTAGCCACTGCCGGTTTGTTCAAATTTGTCAAAATATTTATGCAAGTATGCTGAATCGTGATTTATATCAAATTTTACTCAAATTCAAATTTATCTGAAAAATTCCCCATCCCTCAGAAATTTTTTTTTTTTGGTTTTCAAATCTGTTTTACACTAAGATAAAAACACAATCAGTAAATATTACAGAAAAAATAGAACAAGCTTTTTCACACAAAAGTATAAGTAAAATCAAAGTAAAAACCTAATAATAATTCCTAATTTTTTTTGTTTTTTTCTCAAATTATTTTTTCTTCGCATATTCGCAGAGGTCCTTCACATCCATCATTGCTTTTTCGATGTTATCAGCAAATCGAGATGAGTTCTGATAAGATAAATAGATAGGGAGATAACAACGTGGAAATATAAATACATTCAAAAGAGTGTAATCAGAGAGTCCCCTAGATAAAAAAAACAGTTAAGATAAGATGATGATAAAATAATGAATATGGTAGTCTAATAAGATAAGACAGCCCGATGCTGCCACAACCAAACTAAAACCAAATTTTGATGTTTAAGTTAAAAATAATTTGAGGAATTTTTTGAGCTTGCGATTAAATTTAGTTTTGGCACGAGGCTTATTGTTTTCCACCTTTGCTTTTGTAACACTGTAAACATTGGTCATAAAATGTAACTTCTTACGTCACACTTACATGGCCCACCGGCTAAGGTGGGCAAACTAGCTAACTAATCCCAGACCCAATATGGACTGGTAACCGGACGACAGGCCGTGGTTTGCCGTAGAGTCAGGCTGTGTTGTCGCCTTTCCTCTCCCTCGAGATAAATATGCAAATCCATTACATAGCAATAGCTGCAAATGCAGGTCACCTGAAATATTATAAAAAGAATACTTACTCTGTCATGAGAGGAGACTTACTTAAGTTGGGAGTTATTGCGACAGGAAACATGGAAACTGATTGAAGATTAATGAAAACAGTGAAAAGAAAGACACACAGCATGATAATAGTTATTTTTTAGAGTAGAGAAACTCAATAGAAAATAGAATTAAAAAAGACTGTTAATTTTTCATTATCAGATTCAACTAAAAAAAATGTGATATGCGTGTAATGTAAGTAAAAAAAGGGTTTAAATGAAGCAAAATTGACGTGATACTATGTGCACATTCCGGGGTCGCAAGGATTTGTAACTGCTTTGTCACAGAGTGTTCAACTAAAGAGTCGCGGTCTAATAAATAAAAATTCAGGGTTGAAATGAACCAAAGTTGATGTGAACCAAAATTGATGTGGATCCATCTATTCATTCAGGGGATCGCATGGATTTGTAAAGTCACAGGGTCATATGTTACTGAGGGTTCAACTAAAGAGTCACGGTCTAATAAGTAAAAATGCAGTATCAAAATGAACTAAAATTGATGCGGAACTATTTGCGTATTCACAAGTTGCTGCTGTCACAGAAGGGACGAATGTTTGCTGGATATACAAATCAAGACAATTTTTTTTTAGTTTAGTTAGATACAAAGAAAATTTCTAAATCTCAAAATATATAATGGTTTTGAAAATATCGTACATTGTGGCGAACAAATAAATAATTATTTTCATGATTGTAATTCGCGATTTAAAAAAAACTTTTTCGAAAATTGTTTTTTTTGACATAATGAAGAATTTGATGACAATAGACAGCCATGCGTTAATAACTAAAAATGAAGGATACAAATAAAGACAGTCACAGTTGAATGATTAAAAATGCAGGGTTAGAATGATAATAACATTCTTTATGATTTTTTATCTAATGAACAAACATTTGTGAAACACTTAAAACATAGTTATGGTCGGAGGAATAAAAATGCAGGGCCAAAATGAACAAATAATTTGAGATTAGGAATGTTGGCTGGAGCATCACGGTCTGATGAACAAAAATGCAGGGATAAATTGAACAAAAAATTGATGAATATGCAATAGAACGCCGCATGATTGAAAAATGAATGGCAGTCATGGTTGGATGAATGATGACCGAAAATGCAGGGTTAAAATGAGAAAAATATTTGATTAACGATAATGACTAGAGAATCATATGATTGAGAATCTAAATGGCAGTCATGGTCGAATGAGTAAATAATGCGGGGTTTGAAATGTCAATGTGATCAGATGAAATTAATTCCATAACAGCCATTTTGACAAATTTTTTACGGATAAAATTTCGTGAATTTCGAAATAAACATGCACTAAGTTGCAACAGCGAGAAAGAAAATTACGTTTCAGCGATAGCTTGCACCAGCATGATGAGAAACACCGAGAAGAAAAATGATCGTTGTGAGAAATGTTTTGAAAACAACTTATGCTTTTACTTTTTACTTTTATGCTAATGTTTATGGTGTGCGACTATGTTGGCTGAATAAAAAACTCTGCTCACCAGCTCACCTAGGGGTGCAATAAATTTGGGTAGGCATTATGAAAGCGGGTCAAGTGTTTTGAAAAGCAATGAAGACTAATAGAACTGGAAATCCAATTTTATTTGTGCTTTTACTTTAATTCTAATGTTTAAGGGGTTGGACCTAGACGATAGTTTGAGTTCAAACATCATGTCGCCCCACCTTACCCAGGGTGTAATAAATTGGATCATCGGCTAAACTGGAAAGATTCTGTAACTTCTAGAACAGGAGGTTCTCACATGGTGAAGATATGGGAACCTACGGCCAGTATGTTCCTCAGCATTTCATTTTAGAGGGTTAGAAGGTTGGTAAATATTTTCCTATTAGCGATAAAACTATTCGTAACTTATAAAAATGTGTTATGTATTTGACAGACCATCTGCACTGATAAATATCCTACCTTATGGATATTCAAATACAATTATACTTAAGTTAGGTAATAAAGTGCGGTATCATACTTCAAAATTAAGGGGGGTGTATGAAATTTTAGAGAGGGGTGGGTTAATGCTAACAGCGAATCAGAACCTTCCCAGTTCCCAGTATTGCCTGCCCAAATAAATTAAACCCAGACCTTAAAAAAAATGCAGCTCCTTACAAATCATCAGTGACAACTTATTAGGTTTGTCCAGAGCGAAGACACAAAACATCACATAAGGTTAACGTATTAAAAAGTGAGTAGAAATATATAAACAAGAAGAAAAAAGTAATAAATCGAAAAAAAAATGAAAAAAAAAGAAAAAAAAAAGGAAAATGATATTCTGACCTTTTGCAAAAAGGGAGACTCAATCTTGAGATATTTTGACACGACGTAGAGACAAAATAAATGACGATCAATTCCTTGACCTATGGGAGGAAAAAAAGATCGGTTTAGAATTGGGGCCTTGTTGGAATTCCCCCTCCCCCCTATTGACTTGGAATGTTTCAAGCATAGCTCAGTGTAATAGTCCAACAGAGGGGTGCCCCACAAGGGGGGCGTAAACAATTTTTTGAGGGGGCGTGAAGTTAATTCAAAATGAAAATATTTGTTAGATTTGATCTTGCCCGCCTTATTTTAGATATTTACATTTATTTGGTTTTGAAATTAATGTTCCATCCACATATTTTCATCGTGTTTTTGAATAAAACATTCTTTCGCTTGATACTAGCTTGCAACTTTTTTATCAGTACCCTTTCAAATAACTTGCTTTGGCCAATGGGGAGAAAAAATAGTTTAGAACTGTCTTTTGAGTGGAATTTCCCAACCACCTCGCCACAATTCCTACCAAAATAAGAGTTGTTTTCGCAGAAAAAGTGATCAAAATTTATCACCACGTTGCCTGGTATCCCAGAACCAAGCTTTGTCTACAGAAGTGTGGCCAGGAATTTTTAAAGGAGGGGGGTTTTGAAATTTTTAATAGCCAAGCTAGACAGAAACAGCTATCATTTTCTACCAGATGCCGGTGGAAGTAGGTTTTCAATTATCTTGAGGGTCTAAAAAGCGTTTCAAGCTGCGAAAAATTGCTATGTATAATACACAAAAATGTTTTTTTACATTTCAAAAGGGGGCGTTTCGACCCTGAAAACCCTATGTCCCTGCCTCATATAGCCAGCGGGTTGTAGGTACTAAGTTCGAATTGAGGGTAAGAAAATGTTTTTAAATAACACAATAACCTAGCAGTCATGGCCTCCTTATATCCTGATACATGGCGTTCTGTAGCTTTCTTCAAAAGAGCAAATCTGTCTTCATTCTGAAAAGGGAAAATTTATTAGAAATAGTGAAAACTGATTCAAAACGTTAAAGAAAGATTTGAAAAGTGGGAACACTCGTTCAAATAAAAGAAGGATGAACAGAATAGCAAAGATGCCTAATCTATAAAAAAAAATTTAAGAGAGTGTTGTTGGGGCGTTAACAAAACTTTGTCGACACTAAATTGAAACTCGAGGATGCGCGTGCGGAAGAGATGTGAAAAGCACATTATCGAATCGCGCAGAAAAACAAAGCTTTGTTAACAGTTACATAACTTGAAAGTCTCTGGTAACCTAAATAACAACAAAAATAGTTCGAACTATTTCATCTCAATTGAGCCAAGAAATGACTGCATCGAGTCTTGTTTACTATAACTACATTATCCTGTCTACTCATGCTCTAATGAGCATTGAGCACAACTTGATTTAATAAAATAATAAACTTACAGTTTGTTCTGAATCTTCCATGGCCCGAACGAAAGCGCAGGATTCAGTCGTGCATGAACGAACAGTCTCGGTCCTTCCTTCTCGGAACAATCTCGTCTTCGAGGCTTTGTAAGTCAATCTGAAATGACCTTTGACCTGTAATAAAGATGATTTTTCTTTTATTTCAAAAGGGAAGAAATATGAGGAAGCGGTCTGATCTTTTTTATGGTCAAGTTATGAAATATATTATAACTAGACTAGAAATTTCTATTTGATAAGGCCGTAACAGCTAGCAGCTCCGCCTGGCCGAAAAATGTGGGTTTTCAAGAGTCTTCGAGCTGACATGGGAAAACTACTGCCTGCGGGCCAAATCCGGCCCATTGGGTAATTCAATCTGGCCCGCCTAATGCTGCCACAGCCAAACTAAAACTATATTTGGATGTTTTAGCTAAAAAATAGCTCTAGGAATTTGTTGAGTATGCGAATAAATTTAGTTTTAGCACGTGGCTTATTGTTCTCCACTATTGCTTTTGTAACACTGAATATTGTTCATAAAACGTAACTTTTCATGTCTCACTAACATGGACCGCCAGTCTAGATTGGCAAAATTTTTGGCCTCTGGTCTAAAAACCATGGCCACCCCTGTTATAACTAGACTAGAAATTTGAGGGTCTAACATATGTTAAGTTACGCAAAATTGCTATGTATGAACCAAAAACATGTTTTAGTTACATTGCAAAACACATGGTGGTCTTTCGTCGTTTTGTCCGCTGCCTTTATTACTGTAAGGCTATACAAAAGCCTTCAAAGCAGATGGTAACAACTATGCAAGAACTCGAATTTCAATTGTTGGATAAATAATATTTATAATGAGAGAATTTTTAATTTGTTGGGTGATGAAAAAACTAAATTTTTTATGCGGCCCAGCTAGATGTCTGAAGTTTGTGATACGGCCCGTCGTAAAGGTCTTACTGCAATGATAATAAATATCAAAATGAAACTACATACTCATGAGGTACATCATAAAAGCATTTTGTGGCTCACAATATAATTTATATTAATATCCGTATCTATTATCGGCCAATAGTGGCCGATATATCAATATCTGTATCGGCGGCAAAAAGTGATATCAATTAAGCTCTAGTTGGTTATATGGCCCGCCGACAAAAAATGTTTCCCACCCCTAATTTAGAAAAAATATTCAATTTGAAAAAATTCCTCTTACCCTGAAATGTGCAAGTTGAAGAGACAATTGGATAAAAGCATCTGAAGACATTCGGAAAGTTTTGATCAATCCTTTTCCGAATTTACGAAATGGAAACACGTGGAGGTCTACGTCATCAGACAAAAGCTTTGCAATCTTTAGACTTGATTAAATGACGTCGATGCACTGTATAAAGGAAAATTAATTGTTAGGATACTGATTCAACTCTGTATAAAATCAGCGCTACCAAGCAAAAAATGGTAATATATAGCACAGCAGTTCCTAACTGGAGGCCACAAAGCTATGTGCAAAAATAATTACATGGAAAAAATGTTCTTCCTAGTTTCATTGCTTGATAAGGTTATTTCACAGAGTGTTTTCACTTTGTTAAGCATGAATTGTTTGATCATAATGGGATTTAGAAACTACCAATCAAAATAACACTATAAATACCACTGGAATGATAAAAAGGGGTTGTGCGTGCTGAAAGCCTTTGGAAGGGGACCACGAGCCGTAAAAGGTTGGGAACCACTGAATAGCGAAAAATGAGATTATGAAATCATGGCTCCCAAAAGCAGAACAAAACATTTTTAGTCAAATAGTTAATATGGGAGCGAGATTCCACCTTGGATTAAAACAGTCCCAATTACAATATATATTTCTGATCAAATAGCTCAAGTGATAAGTGATTCCACTCTTAATTAATCTAGTGTTCCCATACACAATATACTTTCAGTTGAGCAGTAGGTTAGGTCAGGATGAGAGATTCTACTCTGCAATAAATTAGTGTTCCCACATATAATATTTTCAATCAAATAGCCAAGATTGAAAGACTGATTCCATCTGGCATTAAATTAGTGTTCCCGAACACAAAATATTTTTTTAATCTGAAGACAACACTTACAGGTTCTGGAATGTTCTATTTTAAACGCTGAGGAGGAAGGGGGGTCATAGTTAATTCTCGGACGCAGGTACCGTCATCATTATATCCAAAGTTCGCAAACTTATCGTACAAGACTTCTTCCGTAAGGTGGCTCCTGATCGGAGCGTCGGCCCAGAAATGTTCCGCCTTCATTCCAAATATACCGTTTTTATAGAAAATAACTTGGAAAGATTTGTCGAGCCATCTGAATATAATTTATTCTTTATTAGCGTCTAGCAGTCACGAAAAACAAGGCCCTGTATAATCACCCACAGGCAAGTTTTTTTAGGCAAAAAGCTGCCATGTCTCGCTCAAGGAGATACAATTTTAGAACTAAGAACTCCCAAGTTCAGCATTGCATACTTAATTTATTGCAACCTGGATGAGTTGGGGCCTGTCATGACTCAGAAAAATTTGAAATACGACTACGGCTCAAACTTTGATACCAATGAAAACTTTCCAAACTAAGCCTCTACTCCAGCATAATTCACAGCCCGGGCATTCGCTCGCAGATAATGTCCCATAATGCGTGTACCAGGTTAGGGTTAGAAACAGAACAGAAAAAAATTGTTATGAGATACTTCGTGGAAAAATATCATCATAGCTTGTCTAAACCTTAGTCGAAGAGAGAGAGTGACCTCCCCCCGAACCCCCCAAAAATAATATATATCCTGAGAAACCTCAAGCAAACTCAGAACGTGACCTCCCCCCCCCCCCCCCCCCAAAAAAAAAATAACTCAAAATAAAATTCAATCACCTGTTATGGCAATTTCCATGCAACAACGTCCGAACTTTGAGAAAATTGTCTCGTCATCAAGGTCTAATACATTGGATTCATCGTCCAAAACAACCACAAACGCCGCTTTCTCGATCGCGTGCAACGACTCTTTGCTCCAGATTTGAAGAAATCACGACGAGTCTGTGAAAAATAAAATTTTCATTTAGATCAGTTTTATTTTAATGGGCCTCAGTGGCTTAGTAGTTCAAGCGTTAGACTCCGCTATGTCAGTAATGTTGATCAGTGGTTACTACCCTGTCGGACCGGTAAAATGAATTAAATGTACTCGCGGACCGGCAAAAAAATGAAAGGACCGGAACAGAGAATAATACCATATTTTTGCGCTAAATAATGCAATGCTGGGCCCTCGACATGCTTCTAGAAATCTAGACAAAAAAAGGTACACTTGAAAACATTTCACATGAAGAAAAAATTTATAATAATGTGCTGGCCAAAAATTGTAATGGCTGAAACATAAAATATTTATATATTTGCATAATGAAATGCAGTGCTGGGCACCCATTATGTATAAGAAAGGCACATATGAAACATTTACATACAAAACATTTCACATAAAAAACATGTACATGTCAAATCATGTACAAACACAATTAGTCTAGAGTTCTGCTGCTGTTTCGTTTCCAATATAGGATTGCAAACGAGGCCTCACTCAAAAAAGTTTCTGCAACATGTAGCTTTGGAGCTGTGTACAGCCGATTCCTTCCGCATAACGCATAGGTAACTGGTTGAAAATATGGACAACAGTTTGATAGCACTATTATCTAGCAATGGGTATTCGTTATCAAATATATCCAAATTGTGACAGTGATTCTTTTAAATCTGGACTGTAAAGTAGAATCACCATTTCAATCAAGCTTTTTTCATCAGGTTTATCATATTAATGCCTCTTAATTAGAGCTCGACCGATATCACTTTTTGGCACCGATACCGATAACGATATATCGGCCAACTAGTGACCGATAACCGATATCGACATACCGATATCTACAACCTGAACCCGCAGTAAATACAACTAGGAAGAAAAATTCAGTTTCAGTCAATCAAAAGTTCGCGTTTGAAACGTGCTCCTTCAAAGCAGTCAATTCCGTCGATTGTAAAAATGAAAGTTTAACAAGTAGAAGAAGTTACAGTTACGGTATTCGCTCCGTTTTTCTCTCTCTTGGTACGCAGGTGGGGGAAGACATGACGCGTTGCCACCCCGTTTGAGCGTTTGGTTTCACGGTCAAAACGATATTATTATGAGCGTTATCACCGTAACGCAATAAACACCGACAGGCTTTTTTGTCTTCACGATTTGGTATCTTTTTTATTCGGCGCTGATAATGATAAATGAGAATGTGTGATAGTTGATTGTAATTCCGGAAGGCGTATTTTTTCTTTCTCACCGTGAAACAGACATGAAACGAATTTTACCGCCGCTATGGGCCCTCAAAAGGAGAGAAGGCTACTTTCTTTTCCCGACTCAATCACTTTTATTAATACAAATCACGGAGCATTAATTTACAACGAGTAACGGGTAAGAATTTATCGCCGGCTAAATAATTAATATTTGATCTAAATTTACCGCAAATACTGTTATAACATTTAGGCCGCGAAATGATTTGATATAAAATGAAGCTTGTTAATCGGAATATCGTCAATAATTCAGCATCAATAATTATTATTAAATGCTAACTACTAACTAGGTAGCAAAGTCGGATAATGTAAAAAACGTAGCAATAACGAGTCTTCGTCGCGAGGCAAGCGCAGGTATAATCAAACGAGAGAATACGCTTGTCGTTGATTAATAACTTAGAAACCCGAAATTTTTATTCAATGCGAAAGTCGATTTTAAAAAAGGCAACTATCGTTTCATAAATATCCGTATACCAGTGTCGGTAATGATAAAATTGATCGCATAAAATTGGGACGGTTAATTTGCGAAGGTGATAAAGGAAAATCACAGCCAACACAAAAGATAAAAATCAGAATAAATTTAATTTGAATTCACTCCTTGATATTTGTCTTTAACATCTGTCGCCGGCTTGTAGTACTGTCGGTAATATGAAAACCAATTCCGATGTCCCGTTCGGAAAAGAAGTGGATTCAAATGGTTTTTATGATAGGTTTAAATGTGTGAAAAAATATCGCAATTACGGGGTCATTACGTAATCAATTTTGCCGTAATTACAGAATTGATTTTTGTCGAATACGTGCAAGCCTAGTGGGGACGGGACGCAAGATATTCGAAGGCGAGGATTTTGCGCCGCACTAAGGGATAAAAGAGAGAGAGAAATATGGAAGAGAACTCTCTGTTCACTGAAAGGCAAAATGAGAGAAGCGAAAAAAGAAAACGCTCGGCCGCAGATATTTCCCGGGGAAAAATACTCATTTTTTAGGACGTGGAAAAGCGACTAACACTGATATATATCGGCCAGATATATCGGCCGGTTGGGCCGATATGATATATCGGCAAACACGCAATATCGGCCCGATATATCGGTTGGCCGATATATCGGTCGAGCTCTACTCTTAATGCCTCAGTTGATCGACGCTTCAAACAAAATGAATTTACATTACAATAAAAAAGTCGTCGGTAACTTGGCCCCAGGCTCAAAATATTGGAAAAGATCTCTGCGGCCCATGGATTCTTGCGCGTCTCGTGACCACCTGCAGGGTCACAACAAGGGGTCTCGTGTAGTTTCGTACCTAACGTACTTCTAGTAGGCGTAGCATAACATTTTTTTGACATGTCAACCCTACCCTCACCTGACTACCCCATCCAAATATTACGTCACAATCACGTCATAGAGCTTGCCAAATACTCGTACGATCGCCCGAAATGGCATCGGCGCCGATGATAAAGAACTGACTAACGTCAGCGATCTCTCCCCTATCGGGATCGTTGCGACGAGAAATAGCTGTTCGATTTCGGGTTCTCGTCTGCGCGTCTTGGATGACGGTTCGCATAGTTTGAAGGGCTCTATTACGTCACTGTGACGTCGTAGTGACATAATTTTTGGATGGTGTGGTCAGGTGGGGGTTAGGATTGACACGTGAAAAAATTGTTATGCTACGCCCACTAGAAGTACGTTGGGTACGAAACTACATGAGACCCCACAACAAGTTCATATCTTACTGGAAAATTATACTGTTCTTGACTGTTTTCTAGTTTAAACAAAGAAATATGCATAACGTTTTATATTGATGGTCATATTAATCAGGAAAAGCACGCAGAACAGAAAAAGCACACATGCCGATTTTTATGAACTTGCCTTTTGAATCAAAATCCTTGATCTTACACCCATGATATCACAGCTGCTATATGCATCAAATTCTCGCATATGTCCATCTTCGAAGGAATGTGGAGACAGTATTTTGCCTTAAAAGAAGTACCGTAAAACCGGCTAACTTCGGATGATTTCACTATACTTCAATCAATCACTCAGTCTTTTGTTGTTCGATTCGCGTCAAACTTGAAATATATTACATTGATGTAATCCTCTGTTAAATTCATGAAACAGAACTCAATTGTGGCAATTTATCACTGGTTATATATTTTATAATTATGCAGTATTTCACGACTGCTCACAATTTTTCTATTTTGAACCATGCTGCCATTCCAAATGGAGAAATTAAAAATTGTCGATGTTGATCCAATCAAACAAAATATTGTTGCTATTTTCAAATCACGCCAACTCGTCGGCGCCCAAAAGTTTGGCGTCAAATCTATAAAGGTGACGCAACATGACGTCAGTGTGACAGGAAGTTCAACGTGTCATCAGATACTATTATTATAATAAAAAAATATTTGAATTTCTATTTTTTCTCAAGTCTTCTGCGACATTTTGCGATCAGTCTAATTTCCCATATACATTGTTATCGCCCTCTATCGAAAGACGGTAGTTTGAGGAAGTTAGCATCAGTAGAAGTCACGATTTGAGCCGCTCGAAAACGGAAGGTCAGTTCTATTGTGAAACATGATTTTTTTAATCAAAAAATAAATTAAACTGCCCGATTGAATATGATTTAGATATATAAGGATTCACTATAGAAACTGCCAGAAGCACAATATGACAAACGATTGAAAACTTTATCCGAAATTACAAGGCATCCGAAGTTAGCAAGTTTTACAGTAGGTCAGTATAAACGGTAAACAATTTCAATAGGTTCGCAAGTTCGCATAATTATCCTGTGGAAGAGAATTATGTTTGAAAAGATTGCTGGACTCCTCGCCGCTGTAGGGTGGTTCACATAACCACTGGTCAGGTACCTTTACCATCAAGTCCATGCAATCAGAATAATAGTCTAACTAATCCCATATCCGTCATGGACTGGTAACCGGATGAGAGGCCGTGGTTTGCCATATGGTTAAGCAGTATTCCGGCTTTCCTTTCCCCTGGCATAAATATGTAAATGCCTAACCTATCCTAAGTATCTCAACAATTCTAGTATCGGTACCGGTACGGGAGCCGCAGTTCTTACCACTTCATGGCAGCTCCTGCCACAAACGTACCGTCGCGTCTCTTGCCATGGTTTTATCGCACTATTACCGGTATGTTTACAAAGTCATGTACAATATTTTAGTCTATCATGCGGAATTATATCTACTTAAACCCAAACCTAACCCCAAAAACATTAAAACTGTATTCATAAGGAAGGTGTTCCAAATCATCCAACATTTATCACCGTCAGGGGCAGCCCTGCTATTACAGTCGACATGCCGTGGTTACGGCAGCAAAATTGGTGGTATTCGATTTGCTGTCGTAATGACCGCCGCTCGCTATTGGTTTGTGACAGCTAAAAAGTCAGTCGCCGTGGGTTAGGGTTTGGTCTTAGCGGCCATGGTTTGGAAATCCCGCCATGGTTTTGCGGCAGCTCTAGCCACAAAATACTTGATATTTTTGAACAAAGAGGTGATGCAATAGCCTGACCTAAGGCGAACAAAAACAAAGAACACAGATCAGAAAACGGGGACGATAACGGTATAATACCAGCAATTGAATTTGAAAAAAAATCCGCTATTTACCGGAAATTAAAATCTAGTCGTCATGGATACGCTGCATGTTGCCTCCACGCGGCTGAATAATCTGGTCTGGAGTCGTGTTTAGTATGGACCTTTCCCCGACCTTTGACCCCCGGATAATTTTTCCTATACTTTACCATTGCAAAATCTTCGGGGCTATTTTAAGAGTGCTTTTGCGAGTTGGCGCCTGTAAAATGGGGTATGTGTCACAAAACATCATTATGATTCATCGCATACAACAATCTTTTTTTAAAAGTACCGGTAAAGAATTTCAGGCTAGTCTATCACAGCTATTTCTACACTAATTTTTATTACTGCAATCAAATTAAAACTCCTAGGAAGACAGAGTGATCATTGAATTATCTGATTTATATTTAAGTTTCCGAAACACAACTGAAAACTAACGAATAGAGTTCAAAAACGCGAAAACGAGGTAATGTTTACAACCACACTTGAAAATCTGTCTGAGTGAGAAAAGTGTCTGAGCGGATGCGAAAAGGGGGCATCGTTACGTCACTTTTTGCATCTTGCTGATTGGCCAATGTCACGAAGTAAACAAGGAAAACGATGCTCGGGGAAAGGTCCATTGACTTGTTTACTAACATTAACACTTGTTATGGTCAACATTACATTTTGTAAAGTACTGCACAAAAAATTCCCAGTATACGGTACAATTATGAAGAATGTTCTTGTAGTCATTGACAAATAGTCTAAAAGTCGTGTTAGCGTTTTCTGTTCTTCATTTCCACCTAGAGTATAGCTGGATAAATTTTGCTCACTGAAGCCAGCGCACATGGACCTTTCCCCGAGCATCGACTTTCTTGTTTACTTCGTGACATTTGCCAATCAGCAAGATGCAAAAAGTGACGTAACAAAGCCCCCTTTTCGCTTCCGCTCAGACACTTTTCTCACTCAGACAGATTTTCAAGCGTGGTTGTAAACATTACCTCGCTTTCGCGTTTTTAAACTCGATTGTTAGTTTGCAGTTGTGTTTCGGAAACTTAAATATAAATCAGATAATTCAATGATCACTCTGTCTTCCCAGGAGTTTCAATTCAATTGCATTAATGAAAATTAGTGTAGAAATAGCTGTGGTACCGGTACCCTAGCCTGAAATTCTCTACCGGTACTTTTAAAATACAGATTGTTGTATGCGATGAATCATAATGATGGCTTGAAACACATACCCCATTTTACAGGCCCCAACTCGCAAAAGCACTCTTAAAATAGCCCCGAAAATTTTGCAATGGTAAAGTATAGGGAGAATTTTCCAGGGGTCAAAGGTCGGGGAAAGAGGCATAGCTGGTCCTCTTGTCACATTGATAACCTATGAGTATGAACTTGTTATAATCACAACTACATAATCTGAGAATGGTTGAATGCAACGTGATTATACTGTTAGAGTGGTTAATGTAACCGCTGTTCGGTTACAGGTTCTTCTATGCTGCTTAAATTATTGAAGCAGCAAGAGAAATTCTGATCCCCGACCTTTGAACTTTTCCATCAGTTTCAGCCTGTGATAGTCAACCCTCGTAATTTCCAGTTCAAGTAGTATTCCGCGTTCAATCACATCTGCTCTATTCTGCATTTGTAGCCAATAACTGGTTGACTTATACTTATACCTGACATGGATTGGTAACAGGCCAATCGGTCGCGGTATGGCATAGTCAAGTTTATTTTACCCATCCAGTATAAATAATATACAATGTTTAACGAGTAATATTGAATACACATATTGAATATAGGGAAGAGAAGTCGCGGAGAACCAAAAATGGTTATCAAGCAGCGACACCCAAAGTGTTGACCTATCAGATGCCACAAGTCCATGAGCTTTGTACAAATAACTGGCTTGCTATTCTCGTACCTCGTCAAGGATGAGAGAACGTGGATAGCCATATGATTAAGTTGTCCTATCGGTTCCATTACATTTGAACCCACGTACATTTGAACCCATGACAATTGCACTGTATGCTATTGCACCTATGGATTTTTTAGTTTCACGGATATAAACCATACTAACCCTAACCCATGGTTTTTAGCATCCGGCATATAGATGAACCCGTGGATTAACGCATGGTTCAAAGTACTGGGTTTCAAATGTACGGTCACCGTCCTATCAGTTTTCCTCTCTCCTAAGATAAATATTTTAAAATCCCGTCCTATAACTGCCAATAACTGATTGACATATTTGTGCGTAGCCATAAGTCAAGTTTCTCATATCAGTTTTTTTTCCACAGGATAAAACATGTACGTCAAATTAAAAAGTAATGTTGAAACTATCAGAATACACGACGGTCACTGGCCAACCATTCCCATACCAGTACGCGTCAGTTGACATGTTAACCGGACGAGAGGCTGTGTTTTCGCAATATGATTAATTCGTCTTAACGGCTTTCCTCTACCCCGTGATAAATATCTAAATCCCATCCTATAACCACCAAGTTCATGCATCTGAAACAAAATAACTGACCAACTAACCCGTATCTGACATAGATTGGTAATAGGACCAGAGGCGATGGTTAGCCATATGGCCAAGTTTTTCTCTTCCACAGGATAAATAGTAAAGTCCGAGATATGGAAAAAGTAAGTGTCGACCAATCAGATGCCACAGGTACAAATAACCGGCCAACTATTCCCATCCACGTCATGGACTAGTAACCGGATGAGAGGCCCTGATTCACAATATGATTAATTCGTTTTACCCGGCTGTCCTTCTCCCCCGGGATAAATATGTAAATCACATTCTATAAGTATAACCATCTTTAACCTTGTATCGGACATGTACTATCGGTATATATAACGGTAATAGGACCAGAGACCGTGGCTAGCCATATGGTCAAGTTGTAATATCAGTTTTCCCCTTCCCCAGGATGGATACGAAAGTTCAAGATTTGAAAAATGTAAATAATGATGACCTATCAGATGCCATAGTGTCAAGCTCTTTGTACATGTACTGTTCCCCCAACAAGAGTCCACGGTTGGCCATATAATTATGGGATTTCCTCCCTACACCAAATCCAATTATAAAAGTTGATCATTGATTACTGCTTAACGGTAGGCCATGCCTAACGAGGTGTATCTCAACTTTGTAAAGGCAGAGCTAGAGTCCTCTAATCCAGGGGTTCCCAAACTTTTTCAGCTTGCGGCACACTAACAGCAAGATTAAAAAGTCGCGGCACACTTAATATAAATCAGTTTTATTAAATTACTCATCCATTAATATGATGCGTTTCGACATTGAATAAGATTAAAACAAGATTTTGCGGGTCAATTGTAACAACAAGTCTTTATCGTTGCTGTCAGTGCAGAAAGTTAATATACCGAATGCAGAATCATGAAAATGTGAAAAATATTTTGTTGTACTATATATATTGTATTGCATATGTTGTACTGACAGAAAATTTACATGGCGAAATTTGAGGTAAAATTGAGAACTCTAAATATTTCATGTGAAAAATCAAATGCGAAAACATGACATGTCAAATATTATGAAATTAATATCGCTTTAAGAGTCTCCTCAATTTCTTAACTGCTGACAGTTTGAAAGAGATTGTTTAGTTAAGACTAGCGACTTTGCTTTGAGCAAACTTGTATTGTTGGGTTGGGGTCGAAAACTTAACACCTTATATATTCAGAAATTAGAGAAGTGTGGCATATTACATCACCTATCGGTAGACATTGAATAATAAATCTTTATACAGATTGACCCTATAATATGTGTGGTACCGAACTACATTCATTACTGAATGCAATGTAATAAAGTTCATGTTGCATCGTTAATTATTGTGAAAAAATCTCAGGAATTTCGTGAAAATATGTGGCACATTTTCAAGACCTTGGCGGTCCACTAGTGTGCCGCGATACAGTTTGGGAAACCCTGCACTAATCATTGTCACATGCGACTTTAGCGTGATGTCTACCGCATTTAAGGGTGAGATTTGCGGCTACATTATTCCTTCTTCAGGTAGGCTACATATAGCGGTTGACATCTCGCATAAGTCGCATCCATTTTCAACGTGTCGAACTGCCAAAAACTAAAGTTCTAGGAGACCCATTGTTGCTTGTCCATTTGACATCATTCGCTTTTTGATACTCTGATTTCTGATAGCCAAGGCTGCCAGCATCACCATGAAAATCTTGTCGTAATAAACATTCAGGTTATCGAAAAATGGCAATTTCAAGTACTTGGCTTTGGATTAATTTTTCCTCTTCATTACGAAGGAATAAAAATAAAATTCCTTAGCTTTAGCTATATGATGAATGATGCCCTACCGTCCAAACACTAACCCAGGTGAATAGTTGCTAGTAAAATATGGGTCGATTTCCTTAACCTACCTACTCTGCTAGTCTCTCACACTAAATTAAACTCCATGAGATCCGAACAGCATGTAGGTAACTTGCAAAATTCTAGTTGTAGGCAATCAGGCTCTTGGGCATGGAGCCCGGTTCTATCACATTGATTATTTATTATACAGATGCTACAACAATTAACAAAATACAACATAGAATAAAAAGAAAATCGAAGCATTTTTGACAGAAGACCTGTTAGATTATGCAGGCTAAAGTGTTATGTTGATCATTTCATTTTGTATCATAAAGCTATAAGCTCTTTAATGAAATATTTCACATTTATATTTTTAAATTTATGGGATACACAAAATTTTTTTTTTTTTTGCTGTTTTTTTAATTTTTTTTACTTTTTCATATTTAGGGAACTACGGGAATTTTTTTTTCATCATTTTTTACTTTTTTAAAACTTAGAGAAACACACGGAGTTATGGAGAATAATGATGAACAAGAAAAGCGGATTGCAGTACATGAAAATTCAAAAACCTGACTCACACAAAACAGAAAAATGGAAATTCGTAATAGGCATTGCAAAACAAAACATCATTGTAATAATCTACATGAATCACTATTATAATATTACTAGAATTCATAATGGACATTTCTTATTACTTTACATAGATTAGGGGCAAAGTTACACTGGGCTCCAGTAGAGTCCTTAGCTACCAAGTTTTCGGAACACAATATCAAACCACAACACTGAGCCAAAAATCAATCACTCCAGTCCAACTGTTATTATAACAGTCATGAAATGCATAATTTATGGCGGGTTTGCCGACAAATCAGAATTTCATAAATTCACACAGAAATAATAGATATCAGTGGTTGACAATAATTGAAAAACATAAAAGCAAAAGATAATAATGCATTTCACAACAAAAATTAATAAAAATTCGAACAATGGCTATTTGAAACGAGTTACGATATAGGTTAATAACTTGGATTTTTTTTTATTTATAATTTTTATTGATTTTTATAGTTTTTAGTATTTTTATATATTTTAAAATGCAAGCAAAAATGTGGAGAGGCAAAGTAAACTGATATACAGCAAGAATAAGTACAGCAGTTGTCAATTATGAGAAAAAAACTCAAAACCTGACCTAAATAATGAAAGTTGTTGACATACCATAAAAAAAATATAATTACACAAAAATTTCTGAATGAGGGCGACATAAAAACAATACACATGATATCTGGAAAAGCTTAAAGTGAGTTTGTTATGGCTCACTAAAAATAGAACATAAGAAGCTAAAGCATTAATGCAGCACCCAACCTAATTTTTAAAACTGATAGGAAAAAATTATATTATTGGACTAGACTATCTAGTCTTTAGGAGTTAATATTTCTAATATTTAAGCCCTTCACAACATATGCATGTCCATAATGTGTTGCAGGATACCACAGGATCATTCGGCATTAAGTCTGAGATTATTGGAGAAATTTAATGTTGAATATAACAGCAGCAATGTTAACGACAGAAATGTTGAATATACAACATTATTGAAACATTTGTATCTTAGCAATGTCTTTAGAACGTGGTCAGTTTGGGAGACTTCTCAAGATCATCGGAATCTGAAAAACAAAATTTTCATTCAGATGACTCTAAAAATTGTGCTCAGTAGAGAAATATCATAGCAATTTTCTATGTGATGTTTGAACAAGGCATTAGTTCAGCAACAATTACAAATCTTGAATATTATTTGTTAAAAGTAAACTTGAGGAAAAACCTGGTTGAATTCCTGCAAATAAAATAATATTTCAGGGTAATTGATCGTCCGCAGATATGTAAAGACCACATTCAAAAAACGAAGGCAATTACTCACAGTACAGTGAACATAGCAAAAATAGGAGACAAAATGAGTTATTGTTTCATCCAATACACTGGTTCTCAACCAGTGGGCCATGGCTCACTGCTGCGCCACGAAAAGATTTTGAGGTGGGCCACAGAACTATTAAGAAATGTTAGTTTTATTTGTATCACTATCTATAATTTTGATTGTAGTACCAATGATTGATGATGCTGTTTTCTGCTACTGAATGGTAATTTTCATTCTAATTATCAAATGTTGCGAACCACTGATCTAATATGACTCCACAAACTATTTCGAGAATATAAAAGACAAGAAATCAAGTTTGCTGTTTTAGTAAATGGTATTTCACGTACCGTCATCACCTTCATGTTGTATTGGTTTATTCTATTGCTTGGTTTCCACCTACTGCACCAGCTTCTTCTTGTTCATTTTGCCCCTTAAAAAAATTTCAATTTTACTATCTAGCATATTTTTTATCATTATTACCTGCTATAAAAATGCAGACAAATATCATTCAAATTTAGGGATTAAATATTTCATATGGCTTAGTGATTGAATATCCCACAGTTTCTGGTCCCCTGGTATAGCAAAGTTCCAATATGCATAGTGACATCACATTTATGGGCTTATTATCAACATGAATTAGGATAGGTTTTGCACATTTATCTCGGGGGAGGAAAAGCCGATAACACTGCTTAATCATAGGACGAACCACAGACTCTCGTCTGGTTATCAGTCTATGTAGAGTATGGGGTTAGTTAGTCAATATTTCCAATTGCATGAACTTGATGGTGGAGGAAGCCATAAATGACCAGCGGTTACGCAGTTACGTGAAACACCCTGCAGCGCCGAAGAGTCCAGCAATCCTCTCGCACATAATTATCCCCCATAGGATTCGAACATGAAAACCCACAGGGTAATCAAAGGGGTGGTACCAAGTGTATGCATATCGCTTAGCCCGATGCACCACACAACCGAGTCTGTAACTATCTATTACATCGTGTAGGAGATGATTGAAAACATACATATGAATACTTTGAAAATCATTATAGAAAGTTGAAAATAAATATTACTCAAATCTCACCATTTGCTGATTGTTCTGATTTCCTCTTTCGGGTAGATGCAGATTCCCAATATTTGCTCCAGCAAAGTTGATAGGTGGAGGTTCTCTGCGTTCTATAAATATAAGTATAAAAAGATGAAAAAAGCAGAAAATATTTATGATCACCTTCGGCTTAGTATCAAACTAAAGATATATGGTCTCATAAAAATATATATGAATGTAACCATGATTTATTGGATGCCACTTAATTATAAAAATATATATCAATAGAAGTGTGATGTAGTGGTAGGTTCTCAAGACAATGCGCAGTTAACATAAGACATTCTTTACAACTTCAATATGCAAATATTAGGGTAATAAATTTTAACTTTACATATTCAAATGATGGGAATTTTATAACTGGCCAATCATGTAATGTACATTCTGTTCAATCTAAATTTTAACAAACAGACGAAACTATTTGACATTTATCTTTCAATTTGAAATGAAACCAACTTGCTCGGGGCATCCTTCAGAGCAAAACAATAGTTACATTCCCACTCACCTGGAGGTTTTAGTGGGAAAGTAAATTTTATAACTTTTCTATTAATTTCATCTTCATTTTTCTCCATTTCACATTTGATGACAATTTGAGGATATTGTTGCAAGTTAGGGAGAAGTTCAAATTCAAAGTCATGTCTTGATGCCATTAAGAAATCATCATCTACGGAAAATCTGTGACCATTAGGTTCATTGAACTGCAAGTCTCCAGGCCCTCCTTCGATTCGCAGTTTGAGATGAATTTTGTCTCCATGTCTTAAGATCACTTGGTTGAATCTTGTTGGTACCGGTTGTGCACCACGGCTTTCGTAATATGTAATTATGCTTCTTTCTACAAGTTCACTTAGACTGAAAAATGTGATGCAGATTTGATTATGACCCATGATATAAAGAAAGTTTTCTTTGAGAACTGGAGGAGGGGGGCCAGAAAACCATCGTTTGATAGCGTTGATAACGGCAAGTACTCGACTGAACTCTTGACAGCGAAATTCTATAGTTCTGTCATGCGTGACTAGATCAGGTTTAATAATGTTCCAGTCAGTGTCATTAGTAAAGTGAAGTATGTCAACATTCTCTTTCTTCAGCTCGAGACGCCATGTCTTCATTTGTACTAATGCGCTTTTGCGTAATGTTGATTCTGCACTGATGTCGAGAGCTGGTGTGATTGCGATGTATTGTGGTGGGCATATTGAATTGTCCAATCCAAGTGACATCCAGACCTTTGTTGTTTCATTGAATGTTCCATCCGGAAAAGTAACTTTGCATTCGTTGAGGTTTACTGTATCCCCTTCAACTCCAATGTTTTCGACTAAAAACAATTTGAATTTACTGTTAATAACTATGCAAAAAAAGAGTCTATTAAAATGTTATGTTTTTAATTTACAGATAACAGGCTCATAAAACTCTATAATTTAAAACTATAAGGATGCTACTGGATTAAATCCTTGATCAATCCATGTAATGATGCTTTCTTTCAAAGCCAAGTACAAGAATTTGTTTTTCAGGTTATAGTTATGATATCATTCAATACTTATATACGGGTGTTAAAAAAGCTACGCAAAATTAAGGTAACCTTTTTTGTCATGGCAACGTTAAAAAGTAACTATTAAAAATCGTCAGTCGTGAAAGGTTCAAATTGTATTTCACTGAAATTTAATGCTTTTAAAAGGTGTTAAAATGTTTTAAGTAGCATTTCATCTTAACGTCGGTTAATTTTGCGTTATTTTTTTAACACCCTGTAGTTCTAACTAAGTTATCAGGCCGGTGCGATGGACTGGTCGTTAAAGTGTTTGACTTAACTGTGTTGACATCGCAGATTATTATGTATCGGATTCAAATCTCATGATCATCACCTGGGGTCTGATAAATTGGGTGGGCAATGGGTAATGAATATGCAGATAACCGCACACACGCATAAAAACTACCATCGCTGCTAATAAGCAGCCAATAAAATAGACCCAAAATTTGTATTTTTATGTTTCATTGAAGTTGTTAATTTGATTATATAATTTTATTCTAAGTAAATGTTTCATCATTAGTTTTAGATTTATTCATATTATACAATTCAAATATGAGGTCCAATTTTTTAGTTGTAAGTGTTGAAAAGTCCTAGAGAAACTTTGCCAAGTAATCATGTATTATCTAAACAGCAAAAATAAATATTCTCAAACCATAAATGTTACATGACTGCTCAAACTTTGGTATCTAATTTACAATTTCCTCCAAAGGTAATTCTTTGCTCACTTGGAATTAGAAAAAATTAGACATTCTGATGCCAGTTGCAAATGAAATTCATCATACTACTTTTAAAATGAGACAATATTTTTGCATACTGGAAAAAGTATCGTAGCATCCTTTGTCAGCAAGACACACAGTATTCGACGTGTCATTTTCAAACCTTGGCAGTGGTAAAACTTATTTTTGTTACGTAAAAATATGCTCTATAGAACTTGCCCAGACTCAAATACTGTATGTGTATATTGTATTTTTTGTGGTATGTTATTAAATTCACCCAGTTGGCCCACCCATTCACCCATTAAATTCAACCAATATCAGATGATATCGTCTACTCGGAACGCGGCGATCAACGAGTTGACCAGCTTTGCTAGAGAGCAGTGGTTCCCAAACTTTTTGAAAAAAATTCCATGACGGACCCCTCGCAATTTTTTTAATGATTCCCGGTCATGTGCACCAAAACATTAAAAGATCACAACAAAAAATCAATGTGCCTTATAGTGAAACGAACAAAAGAATATAAAGCGCAACTCTAATGACATGTGTGAGTGTGACATCCAGTCTGTTTCGATATTTGGTAAAAGGGCAGCGTTAGCTACAGCACTGCAGTTAGTATACCTGTGGTGGCATGAATTGAACTCTCTCTGTGATATCACAGGCCCACAGCTCTGTGACATTACAATGGGGCAGCGTGATCGAAACATAAAGTGAAGAATCAGTGTCTCTAGCGGTGATTGCAAAACAGCAAAAGGCGATAAATGTGTATTTGTTTAGGCACTCAAGCTAATAGCCATATTACAGATTTGTTTCGCGGACCCTCCAAAAGTGCTTCACGGTCCCCAAAAGGTCCGCGGGCCCCAGTTTGGGAACCACTGCTATAGAGTGATTGCTGTAAATCCCAATAGTCGCGATTTATTGCATACTGTAATTCTTACTTGGTTTGCTTTAATTTCAATATCATGCTGTAGTCCAGGGGTGTGCAAACTTTATTACAGGAGGACCAGATACAAGTAACTGGGTAAGGCTGCAGGCCGTGCCTTTGCTATGTTTTCTCAGCATTGTGTATTTGGCAACAGAATTCTGCTAGCTAGTGTTGCTAATATGGCAGTGGCACCCAGGTACTGGTACAGTATAGGCTTTGCGGCGCAAAGAGATTGGAATGCCCGCACGTACCAGATAAACAAAAACTCGTTTCGTGGGCCACGGGCCACATTTTGCACACCCCTGTGCTAGTCGATTAGGATATAATCCATGACAAAACTGGAATAAATTGTTACAATGGGTTGGGCAGTCTATCGTCACCACAATATGATTCTGACTGCCAGTGGTTGCTCTTATGTATACTCGTATGTGTATTATTCACAGAATTCCATGACAAAAAAATTAAAATCTACATAATTCTGGAAATATACCTTTTATAACATTCTTTGACTGCGTTTTGATGCCAGAGTTTCCCCATTCATCCTTGGCCCAGACTTGGAAACGATATGTTTTACCAAGTGTAGGTGACTTCATCCTATACTGAGGAACTTCTGTAGTGTGAGTCTCTCCATGTTTTTCATCATCACAGAAGATTTCTATGTTGTATAGAACGTTTCTGTCAGATACTGCATTCCAAGTCAAAAGAATGTCGGATCCACTTCTTTGAGATGAAACATTTTCAATTTGCGGCAAAGCTAGAAATAAAGGAGTGAGTTAGTAAATATAGTAATCAGTAATTTATTTCTTCAACATGCTGAAAGTACAAACTATACATACACAAATTAAAGGAAATATAAAAAAGTCGTATTCCAGGGTGAAAGGAGATGTCGAAAACCAATACTGGTTATCGAGCGACTCCACCCTTGGTGAAATCTAACAGAAACCCGATGAATATAATAAAATCGAACTAAATATGTTATTGAATAAATAAAATGAAAAGCAATAGGTACGCCAAAGCAACCCGGTACATACCAAACAATCACTGTTTCAGCAAAAAAAAGTCGATTCCTTGCACCACAGTCTAGTTACCATGAAAATAAAAGTGCGAGACCAGACAGTCTCACAGTGTTGTGTTGGCGAGATACCGTAAAAAAAAGTAGGCTAAATTTGAGGGCATCGAACATTTGATTGTGTGCATATATACCATCAAGTGTACAAGTGACAAAATCATGACACTTTTTGGCAGGAAGAAACCTGTAGTATTAACCCTAACATGGTACCGTGTACTAACAAGTGTTTTGATACTGGAGTCAAAAGAATTACGAGGACATGGATATTTATGAGGCATAAATATGTATAACCTGCTATTGCAAATATTCTGTTCTAGATTCTTCAATTTCCCATAATTCATTAGTTTCATATTGCATAAGTTACACTCTAAAATCATAATATAATATAAAAATTAACTTTGTTTACATTTATGCTCGCCCAAAACACCAAACTACTCTCGATTTTGCACTTCAGGCTAGTCCAAGCTTGCAAAGTTGGAGGGCCGCAATTTCAAGGAGGCCTTGTGGGTCACAGTCAGAGAAAATCCAGAATTGATGGAAATAGTGTGAGTTTACTTCCGTTGAAAATATTAAAGAATGACAATTTATCATTCTAATTAGCTTATTGTTATGTTGCATGGGTGGTGTCGCTTCAAATTATAATGTTGTGGAATAAATATGAACACCAGTGATTGTGGTTTACAACTGTTGTGGGCAAGGAAATACGTTTCCTTCCAGTTTTCTTCTGTCACATTTCAATTAACAATAAATTTTATGATGAATTGTTATGTTTAACTAGTTTATAAATTGCAGTGTAAATAGACCTAGTGCTATCGCCAAAGAACAATCAAGTACATCAAAGTTGGGATTTGGGGACCTAGCTTAAAAAAACTGATTGGGCGGCACAAAGACAGCTCTGCGATTCGCCACTGCTATCACAAGGCACACTAAAATATAGGCACAAAATGTTTCTCTAAATAAAGAGTTTGTTGCGAGCTCAAGGTGTGAAATCGGGATGAAAAGCTCAAATCCACTTATCGAACCTGCCGGGCCCTGTCTGCCCAAGACAATTTATTTCTGTCAAAATTGTTCTGAGCGCCGCACGAAATGTACCATACCAGGGTTTGGACCACCCTGTTATACTTAATTAAACGCAATCACACAAATATTACAAAAACCATACTGCTCATAATATTTAAGTTTATGGACATGTGGCAGACTTACCATATAGACTTAGTTCATCTTCTTGTTGAATGTCTTCTAATTCAGTTGTAGGGATTTTGCTTCTGAAAACAAAGTTTATGTACATAAGAAAACAAAGTAAATTTTCTTGACTGAATTTTATTTTATTGGCAAAGATTTTCATGTTTATCACTTAAAAATCACTCAAAATTAGGTATCAAGCTATCTTAGCTATAACTACATTTAGTGTAAGATTTCAAACTCTTCATAACGCAAAAAATGCCATAACATTAGTCAATTCAGTGACGTTAGTGATATAACAGTATCTCAAAAGAATTTTCTGATTAATTTCATGACGAAATATCATCGAATGCGATTTTTTGATTACACTCCAAATTCGACGCGGGCCACATATAATGAAGCGGCGGGCCACGTGTGGCCCGCGGACCCCAGTTTGGTAAACCCTGCTATAGACAATGAGTTTATTTCGTCATGCAAGAAATCAAAATAAATTATATTCAGGGACGAAGTAATATACAGGAAGTCACGAGAGGACAGAACTGGTCATAAGGAGTCTGAGACACCAAGATTCCAAACGAGTCAAAAATAAAAATTAATAGTATAAAAGAAACAATTGACACTAAGAGAAACTTTAGTCTTTCAAAAAATGTAACACAAAGTATGTATTGTAAATCCTAATAGGACTTATATATTCATCCTGAGGGGGGTTGAGGAAGACGATAAGGCGGGTCAATAATATGGGAAGCCACGGCCTTCTGTCCGGTTGCCAATCCATGTCGGATTTCAGATTAGTTAGCCAATATATATGATTTGAAAAATAAAAACTGCATAGAGAAAAACAATCGAGACACACCAGTCTTTTTGAAGACATGAAAATTATGAGCAAAATTGTTTTTAAGATTCAATTTTTGCAACTGCTTTAGGCTTATCCGGGCAAAATCTCAAAACAATAAGATTTTATAAAGATATTGTATTACAACCATGACGAATGTAAATTCAGGATACCACATTGGTCTGAACAAGGCTATGAACAAATCTATTGAGTTGAAGTGAAACTTGTTCCATAGATAAATTCAGTCAGACAAAGAACGAGTATTGATGGTAAGGATAATCACAATTAAGACTCAAATATGAAACAAATATTTCCAAGATTATTATTTTTTAAATAATGTTAATGATTTTTCTGACCTTGAACCTCCTTCTCCATCTGAAGTTCTTCTCCTCTTCTCACCAGTAGTTCTAGATGAAGTATCACCTTTAAAAAAATTTGAATTACCACTTTGCGTACCACTTTGCGTAAGAAAAGCCATTTATTTATATGAAGGATAAAATAAAGTTTCATATTCTTCTTAATGTTGTTCAGATTTTTCAAATTTATAATAATTTATTACAGTTCTAAATGAAAATCATTACATTTTATATTCTGTGTTATGACACTAACAATTGTCTTCTGGTATACAATATTTTTCATAATTAGCAACTTAAATTAGCTATTTAAACATGAAGTCTTATACATAGAAATCACTGAAGTAATGACTTAACGGCGCTCCCGTGGTATGTGTACCAGGTTAGGGTGAGGCCATAATTTCATTCCAATTTTCCTTATATTAGTTCTATTAAGAGTTCGGGGACTAGCCAAGTGACTCCCATAATATTTGTAACTGAAATTATGGCCTAACCCTAACCTGGTACACATACTACGTTTCAGCGACCACCATCTTGGTTCGCATACTACATGAGTACCGACTTAACTATGCTGCAAATGCTGTTTATATGAATATACGGCAAAATCAAAATTTCAGAAATGAGAATACTTCAATATTAAAAAGTTAATCAAAATGGCAAAAAAAGGAAATGGTGGCCAAAATAAATACTTTTACAGAGTTTGTTATCAAATGCATGGACTGATGATAGAAGAAGCTGTATCCAGCCAGTGGGTAATTGGACAACACTACGACAATGTTCCGTAATCCTATCAAATATAATTATCCCTGACAAAGATTTAACTTGCAAACCCTCGGAGTGTAATCATAGGTGCGATGGCAAGCATATTCCTAACAATTGGAACCATGCGCCACACTGCCGCATGTTTGGATTCCATGGATTGTTGGAAAAATCCAGAATTGCTGGAACCCAATGTGATAATGGTGTGGCGCTAGTTTTTTGAAGTTATAGTCATTATATCATTGGATAATTACATAGTTCTAGCTAAGTTGTTATCAGGGCGGCATGCTGGACTTATTTAAATCAGACTCGAAACTGCCTGACCAGATGAAAGACTTCGATAGGCTGGATCAGGCCTGCGGACTGTGAATTGCCTAGTCCTCGTATAGAGGAAAGAAAGGTAGTTGCAATCTAGGCAACCTAGTCATACAGAACAATTGGTGTCAGTGTTTCCTTTAGTAGAATGAAAATTCTATTATTCAATGAAATCTTCAATGCCTTATATTACTAGCTCATAATGCAAAATTGATTAGTTTACAATGAGGGTGGCCTCGAGTGTTGGCCAAAATAAAATATCTTCTGATTAAAATAGAACACTTCAACTGTCTTAAATTTTTGAACCTATGTTTATTTTTTTTAATGTTTCATTTCCTGTTAAAGATCAGCACAAAACATTTATATTGTCTTTTTTGCAGTAGTGGTTTATATTCAAATTAGAAGAAATTTGAGTCTGGACTAGTTTTGCAACTTGAACATTTGGGCAAATCTGTTGCAAATCCTAATCTAATCTACAAACATGACCTGGCCGCGCCATTCATATTAATGCTAAAATGACCAACAGAGGAGAAATTTTGCTACCCGTCTTAATTGGTGAGCGTTATATAAAAACCCTCTCTTTGGGTGCCAGAAATAGGCATCGTCTTCATTGGCAGGTCGACTTACTAGCTGGAAAATATGGTAGCTGGTATGGTATGGTTTTGTTGTTTAAAGGAAATAAGCAAATCACAAAGCTAAAAACAAATATTTCAACTCAGAAACATATGTGAGAGCGTGTGACACCTTATTTGTATCAACAAAACTTTTTGAAAACCTCTTGCTCATGACAAACATGCAAAAGATTCCGATTCAAGATTTGGCCTGTCAAGCCATTTAGTGTGGACAAGTCAACACAAGATTGTTTCCCATCAAGCATGAAATCCTAATCCGACAGTTAATGTTGACAGTTCTGACAAAGCCGATCTTAACAAACTATGCAGGAACTTAAAGTTTCCAATGTCCCACTAAACTGTTACATAAATGGGATTTTTTATTGTGGGAATTTTTCAATACTTTATGTTTATGGAAAAACTAAATTTTTCTGTCTGGCTTAGCTAGTTGTCTGAAGTTGGTTATATGGCCCACCGGCAAAAAAATGTTGCACACCCCCTGTATTATTCCAACATCTCAATGGTTCCGTACTTCCTCATAATTACAAGCATTTAGCTCAGCTCAACGCCATCTGATTCTAATAAGACAACTGACTTACTATGCTGAGTTGGCTTTGCAAGTTGTTCCGTTACTTCTTTATCTGATTGTTCTGCTTCTTCTTCAGACAGTGGGAGTTCACTTCTGAAAAGAAAAATGGAGAATGCAAATGAATTAATTTTGATTCATTGGTTATAATAACAGCCCCTATTAAATTAACAGAATTGTGTTGAACATAGCTGATATATGATTGAATTTTTACATATTGTAATTATTATAAATGTTTTATTATTTCTCATTTTAAATGATGTGTATATGAAGATATATGCTTATCAACAAGCAAAGCTGAACAATTTGTCAAATTGACATAAGATTTTAATGACTCATATGAATTTTGTTCAAGCACCTGTTTGAAATGGCCACAAGTGCAACCTCCTATCTCTGCAAAGCTGGGTTTTCAGCAGTGGTGTCAATCAAAACAAAATACCGGTTACGTTTGGACATAGAGAGAGAAATGCATGTGCATAACAAGTATAACATCTCGCCTTGAAAAGATGTGTTCAGAGCAACTGCCGCACACCTCTCATTAGATAGATAAGTGTGAATGTTTTTTTAATGGCATTCCCTTTTCTTGAGGCGCACATATTGACAACTTTAAAAAGCATAAAATGCACGATCACAAAATTCAGTTTTATCCAAAGACAGCAAGTTCCATGTACGTGTACGGCGATTTTTTCCCTGATAATTTAGCGCCGTATGAACATAAAGTTTGGGAACCACTGCACTAGGCCACACCTATCCTTGACAATTGAAATATAGGTGAGCATTATATATCATACAAGGTACTGTTATATCTAACCTGGGGCTTTCTACTTCTTGTAAAGTCTCCACATTTTCTCCAGTATTCTCAAATCTGTCATATGATGATCCTTAGAAAGAATAATAGATAATTATCAAAAAATGATCGTATTTAAGACTCTGTTTTGAGCTATTTAACATCGTTTATTAGAAATTATGATAGAATTTCCTATTTTACCCGGAAAAGAAAGGTAAATCAATAATGCGGCTTATACAGTGAACCATGGCCTCTCGTCCAGTTACCAGTCCATGTCGGGTATGGGATTAATTAGCTAGTTATTTGTTTCAGATGCAAGGACTTGATGATGAAGGAAGCTCAATCAACCAGTGGGTACATGAACCACTATTTGACGACATGGAATTCAGCAAACCTCTCGCACTTAATTATCGCCAAGATCTGAAACTGTGAACCGAGCAAGATAATCAGATTGGTATGCCAAGCATCCATCCATAATAATGCTCTGGAACCAAATGTAACAACTTTGTAATAAAAATACAAAATTTGTTTGAAGAATCACAATAGGCTATATAACAGACTGCAAGATGCTGTTGAAGGATATGCCAGATTTAGCAGCAATGAAAGTATATTTATTTAACATTAAATCCCCAAAAAAATGAAAAATACTTGATGACCATAACTAAAATACTTGATGACCATTACGTACTCATCATACCATAGCACCACTCAATTTAGAAAACATATTTATAACTTACCAAATTCAGCTTTTGAAGTTGTGGTTGGAAGTTGTTTAGAAAAAACATTGGTTGTAGCATCTGCTGACTTTCTTTGACTTTTGAGTGTACTTCTAGAAAACCGAATCTCTAGTTCCTGTAATTAATAAAATTTTTATACAAGATTAGCACAAAGGACGCAGAACAATATTTAAACAGACAATGGTATCTAATGATTCCAGTACTAAAATTCGATGCATTTTCCCATAAAACCATACTATATAAAAGTGCTGCTTATTTTATTAGGAATTCTTCCATTTATTGAAAAACTTTCAAAATTTGCATACTTTATCTTATCTTTGATAACTCACTATACCGACAGTCTAGTGACTTGGTAGTTCATTAAAATAAGAATTATGGTGAAAAATTGGTAAATTCATTTCAAATTTAGACTTTTGCTTGGCGAACACAAATGAATCTTGATACAAAACCTTGATATTGTAAAATTTTTGTTATTGATTTCATTTGATAAAAAAAATTAAAATTAATCATCTATGCAGTCGAGCAAGATGAATGATAAATTTTGGGAACTAAAATAATGTACTATAAAATTGTTTTTTTTATCAAAACACAAATAAACCTAATTAAAAAATAGCAATTATTGAATACCGTATTTTCCGGCGAATAAGACTACCCGGCCAATAAGACGAGGCCTGTTTTTGGCACCAAAAAAAGGGTTTTTTCCGTGTATTCGTCCAATGAGACGAGTAAGAAAATCGCAACCCTGCGTCTCCGTTCGACAGTTAAGCAAAAAAGCGCACTATTATTTTTAACCGATTCTGTTGTTGTATTTTTCAGTTACGCGCTAATGCACTCTCTTTTCATTGATCTTTGTCGTGTTGACGATATAGCGACAAATTCAAAAGCGCCTTATTCACGCGCTAATGCACTCTCGCTTTCATTGACCTTTGTCGTGTTGACGATATACGCGCCAAATTGAAAGCGCCTCATTCACTGCGTTATCAGTGATATAAGTTTATTATTTCGCCGTGAAAGATGTCTACATCTACAAAAAGAATGCGTTATGATGCTGCTTTCAAACTAAAAGTAGTTGAGCTAGCCTTACAAACAACAAACGTGAAAGCCGCTCTCCAATACGGTGTTACCGAAAAACTGGTCCGTGATTGGAAGAAAGCAGAATGTGTACTCAAAGAAATGCCGAGAAAAAGAAAATGGAACCAGAAAAATCAACCGAAATGGCCAAAACTGGAGGAATGTGTAGCGGAATGGGTGGAAGCAAACCGAAAGAAAGGCTTG